TTTTTTTTCTGGTTGGCATTGTAGTTTACAAACACAGTAGGATTACTGTATTCTGCTATTTCCTAGATTATAATTTATAGAGATAAGAGAGACACCAGCTCAGATTCCAGAGCCCAAGTCCTGGATTATGTCTTCGCTTACTGTTTTGTTGGGTGAGAGTGTTGTGGTGCAGTGCTTCAGTTTGTTTCGGTCTCATTATTTTTCTGTTTTTTGCAGTCAAGTCAGGTCTTTCAATAGCCTCCAGCAGTTTTTGTCACATTCAGCACATTGTCACTTAGAGGGAAAACGATTTCTTCTTTAACTGTAGATGTTATTGCTTTCCATGGGTCAATGACACCATATGTGGTGGATGTTTGTAGTTGTTAATAAAAGGTTGTGAAGGTGGGTCCAAAGGATCCGGCGTCTTTTTCTGCAGCTCTGCTGAAGCACAGCTAAGGTCAGGTAGACCTGGAGCACTCACGGTGAAAACTGCAAGTGCAAGACAGGGCAACGTAATTCACTGAGGGAGTGTGTCAGCTAGATAAGATAGCAGATGTTGTGCAGTAAAACAGTATTTTCATATACAGCGTAGGCACAAAACATCCACATATACCACTACCACCAGCATGACAATAATCCTTACAGTATTCCATACAAAAAAAAATTTGTATGGTTACACATTCAAATACTGAAACTTTTTTTTTAAATTAAATTAACGTTAGAATGTAATGTGATCTTTCCTCGTAAAAAATGTGCTGTTTGCTTGCATTTATTGGTGTAATCAACTGTTAATTATTTCAAACAATTCTGCTGTTAACTGCTGCAGAGAGATGAGAGATGCAACAATTCCATTTTTGCTTTTTGGGAATCTTGCGGATTTAGATTTTTTTTTATCCTTACCTTTTCAGTGCCTGAAATAACCCTGAGTGTCTGAAGACCCAGATACCAGAGCACGACTTCGGGAAGCCGCGGTGTCCCTGAGCCCGTGAGAAATAAGACAAGTGACCCTAAGAAAAGGCCCAGCGGCTCATTTAAAATGGGGTAAGTGGAGATGCGTGTGGTGAGACGGAGAAAGAGATCAACAGAGCCAACAGAAATAAATGCTAGCAGAGGGATATATCAGTGCTCTGCTAGGATCACTTATTAGAATCGGTTATTCTGTTGAAGGTTTTGTTTTTTATTTTTAATGTTGCTTTTTGGTCAGTTTTTTTTGCAGCCTCTATTATTTATTAGCTCTAAATAAGGGAAAAAAAGGATTTAGAATAATCTGACTACTTAAACGCAAAAGGAAAACAAAAGCCTCAGGTATTGATTCCCTTACTGAGCAGCTGATTAAGTGATTACACAGTTATTTATTAGTACTTAAAGTATTTATTAGTATTAGTACCATCATAAATTCCAGGGCATACATCAGTCAGATTTAGATTGAGCTGAATTAAAAGATCCTCTGCCAGTGTTTTAAGGACGTAGGTGTATCGACTCCTAAATGCCTAATGAAAACCATTACAGCACTCGAGATCTGCTTTGCTCTGTGTCCCCTGGCTGCTGGTAATTCAATCATAAAAACATTTTCCCATATTTCCACAAACAGAGACTGAAAATCAATATGAATGAAATGTCGTCCCATAGTGAATTTGCTGTATGCAAGTAGGTCATGATAATGAACAATATTTATTTGTATGTCAGCGGTTTTGAAAAGTGTGCAGACAGAAAAGATGACTGTGATGTCATGAGGACCACCATGCATTACAGTGTGTGTATATCACAGATACAGGGCAAGGATGTTGCTAACAGTGAATAGTGACAATAAAGGATCCGGAGCCAACATACTGGATTCCTGTATGGGTTTCTACACAAAGTGAAAACATTTCGAAATTGAAAAATATAAATAAGTTTAAAATGGTTGCACGCCGAGCTGTTTCAAATGCATTTGTCATCTGGGCAGCAGTATGGAGAAGTGATGAGGGTTCTGCATTTGTAACTGGAAGGTACTGGGTTCAAATCCCAGGTGAGACCCCGCTGTTGAACCCTTGAGCAGGATCCTTCACCTGAATTGTTCCACTTAAATACCCAGCTGTATAAATAGGTGCATGTGCAAGTCAGTTTGGATAAAGTCATCAACCCAATAAATTAGTTGTATATGTATATTGCATGGATGGCTTAAACTAGAATGACAACTGACATAAACATGTATACATGTTTCCACCATTCTCTTGAAGTTGAAAGTGCAGAGATTTTATGATTCGCGAAATTCAATCATCCATTCTACTGTATATGGACAGTATACAGTACTCTTATGATTTATATGACTTTATGATTCATACCTTGACTTTTTTTTCTGTATAAATATATAATCCATTTTGTAAAGATTCTATTCATACCACAGATTTGCATTTATTTTGCTGCATTGTAACATGTGCCTTTTCACCACAATATGTTTATGAAGATTAGGTATAATTTTGGATCCAGACATTTTACACTAATTACAATAGGGGAAATCAGTCAGATGTACACCTCTTTTCAGACCTAGCAAACGTCCAACCATGTTTATTAGTCGCACAATCCAGTGAGGGTTGCAGTGAGCCGGAGCCCAACTAGCATAAACCATACTTGCCTTGTTTGTTGTCATGAAGGATTAAAATTCTTTTATGGTATGAGAATTGAAGGAGGATGGGATTTCTTAAAGAGCTGGTAAAATCTAAGCAGAAACAGTAGCAGAAAGGGCAGGGAAATCTTGAAAATCGATGTGCGGATTACACATTTTGAAGCCCAGAAATACAGTACGATGACCTTTTCTGCTTTTAAGCAATGTGTGTAAAGCTTTCTACTGTGCATCGATTCATTAGGGATACTCTGTCATTCTTGTTCTTTTTATGCTTTGTTCCTTTTGTTGCGAAAATGGTTTGGTTTTTGCGCTTGGTTTTTAAATAATTGATGTATCTCGAGTGTGAAAACGAGTGGTGACGAAGCTCCTGCTGTGCGCCTTAATTTCCACAGGGCATTCCTCCTCTCCCTCCTCTTAGAAGAATGGAGTCCGGGACTTCGGAAGCCTCGATGCCAGATGTGAAAACCACACCATGTGACTACTCAGCAGCAGGGTCTCCTGCTGGCTGCAGTATTGCTTTGGAAAGATGCTTGAGTGACCTGCCAGCATCCCTCTCCTTCCTTGGAAATCCTTTGTCTGACTTTCCACTTCAAAATACCATGACCTATGCTAGCCTCCAGGATGGGCAAGGGCAATGCCAGGTCATGCCGGGGTGCCATAACAATGCTTTTCTGAACAACCTTGGTCTGAGGTATTGCTCCACCAACAGCATGCACCCACTAAAGCACCCAGACTCCCAGCTGGTGCATCAGGACGGATGTGCCATGCAGTCAGAACCATATCCAGCTGGCCCTGGTGTTTGTGTCAACAGCACCAGCAGCAGGCTATACAGAAGCATGGAGAACTTGCATTGGACAGCGGTTTCAGATTCCAGCTTGTATTCTTTTAGCCCCCCTTACAAAAGTGTGGACAGTGAGTTCATTTTCCGTTGCACAGCCACAAGTCATTGGTACAACAATGCCGCTGAAGGATCTCCAATGTATGATCTGCTGCCTGCTTCAGAAAACATCCCTTTCCATCCCCGGAGAGTGCCGGTTAGGAAGGACCTTCCCCTTTTCACCAAAGTTCCCCAGTGGCTTTTCCCCGTTATGGACGAAAGGATCATGAATGGAGATGCCAAAAGAGGTTTGAAAGAAAAGCTACGGCTTCAGAGCGCAAGGGCCGCAGAATATAATAAACCAGTGCGTCCCCAAGTTGCTTTGTGTGACATAGTGGCAAAGGACTGTCGAGAAATCGGGTTGACTCCCAGAGACTGTAAGAGTGTTGGTTCCCTAAGCTGCTGTGAGGCATTTGGTCAGTGCACTGCTTTGAACCACAATGTCCCGCTAAACAGAGACAGATCATCATTCTCCCATCGAATAACCAGCCCAGAGGAGATCAAGCAGGAAGTCATGAGAAGGCTGCAGCTCAGGAGACAGAACAGCACGCCCAATCTCAATGTTCAGCCTCCAGAAGAACGCAATGAGGTGGTGAAATCCCACACTGCAGAATCCATAACGCAGAACAGTGGCAGAAGTGAAAATAGCTCCTCGTCGGAGTTAGTAGTGGACCGAAAGAGATACCCCAAGGGGAGGCTGCACATCCCTACCTTTGAGGAATTCAAGATGATGAGGAAAAAGGAGAGCAGCGAACTTGCCGACAAGACGGTTCAAAGGCAAGCCGAGTGCTCTTCAGCAGGGGAGTCGCCCGACTACAAACTGAGCAGGGATCACACCTCTGAGAAGCACTGTCAGACGCTCCCCCAGACCTCCGCAGAGCAGGGTTGCACCTCAGAAAAGAAGGAATGTCAAAGCACGCCGTGTGAAGCTGGGACTTCTGTGGAGCAGCTCAAGTGTCGAGAAATGACTTCCACACCCCATGACAGGGTCTTAGGCCTTGATGCAAGCTCAGAGGCGAATAGTTGTCAAACGGAAACTGGACAGGGCAGGACCGCTCCAATATGTACAAGTCCGATACCTAGGTCACCTCCCCAAGCTCTGCCCGTGTCCCAAGGGGGAGGGGTCAATCACAGTCGAACCCAAACGCAGAACGTCAAGGACGGCACCTTTCCAGAGCGCCCGGAGAGCTCCGAGGCCCAGTCCACGTGCTGCACATCGCTGCTGCTCGACAGCACGGATCTCTCCAACTACGGGGCGAAAATCTCGAAAATGAAAGATGGCTTTATTGGCTCAGCTCTTGACCTGATAAAGAAGAGGTAAGTCAATGAGCAATAGGTTTTGCCTGCTTTGGGCTGACAAAGTAGGTATCCCCTTAATTTTAGGAAGATCGATAACCTGAAACCAGAAAAGGCAAAGATTTATTTTGTTCCTACACCAAAAAATAATGAAGAACACTCCAGACACATCAACACTACAGTTAGCTGTCCTGTCCTATAATCACACTATAAAGAATAACTAACAGTACTTACCTTAGTGCCGAAGGCATCCAATTAACAACATGGAAAGAGTTTCCAAAGTGCCTCTACCAATCAATCTTCCAGAGCAGCTCTGCCTGCTCCCATGGCTCAGAACAGCAGGGGAGGGCTCTGGCAGCTCAGAGTTTGCTCTGGTTAGAGAAGTGAAGCTCTGGCTCGTTTTGAACGGTACCGCCGAGGGCAGGGCGAAAGGCCGGCGGTGCACTTGTGATCTGCATGAGCAGCAGTGTGGAGAAGGGGCCAGGGCTGACGGCTGTGTGTTCAGACCCTAGGTGGGAAGCAGCTGGTGCTGAGCGAGGTGCTGCACCTGGATTGGTCTAGTGGAAGACCCAACTGTTAAAATGGGTGCAGGTATAAATCATTTTGGATAAAAGGGTCAGTCAAATAATTAAGCAATAATAGTAATAAATAAATCTCCTTAGTTTAACAGATGAGTGTTTGCTACATCTCCTGCCTGGAATATTTTCTCCAGCCCTTTATCCTGCAATAATGAAAAATGTGTACTTTGTACTGGGTTTTAGGGTATTTTACACAACCTAAGATGATGGTTTTAAGTTCTAAAGATATTTTCCACAACATGAAGTCCACTGTCATCCACAGAAATGTGTGCTTGTCATACCACAGTTCTCATTTAACTGATTTCACTGCTACACTGTGAATATGCCAACTACTGTGCCTCTGTTAGCACTGTATATTGCAAGGAGTGAAATGGCGTAACTATCAAATAATTTTCCAATACAAAATGTAACAGTTGTGTATTCCTATAATCTATGTTGTATTAGATGTGTACGTGTGCAGAAATGCTTTCCTGCAGAGCCAGGTTTGAAAAGTTCAAAGGTCTCCGAGGGATTTTGTACATCCCCACATTAGAATGCGTTGTTTCCACTCGGGTGTTCTGTGTTGCATAGTCAATTTGTGAGTATTGTTAGCTTGAGGGAAAAGAAAATCAACAGAAATTTAATTTGTTCTGTAGGTAAGAATTTTGATCTTATAGATCAGCAGTTTACTTTGACCCCTGACATTACAGTTTCAGAATTTTATAATATATATTTTTTAAATTAGCCACACACAAAAAAAGGACTGGGGCAGGGTTTTGACATTCTGATCTTTTAAAGAAGCTGTGTCCAACATTATCTGGTTGTGAATTCTGTACCTGATCAGCTTAGAGTAGCTCATTCTCTGTCAGTTCCAGAACTGTTGTTTTGTGCTCTGACAATGAAGACGACATTGGAACTGGTACCTTTTGTTGTGATTTAATTGCTTTGTAACAACAGTGAAGATTCAGGATAAATCAATAAGTGTACCAGACTGAGTCATTGCTAAAGCCAGGTAAAAGCCAGCAAAATTAAAATACTGTGGAACCTAAGTTTTGTGAAAGCTTATTGATAATTTGACTTTTTGATGATTTGATTTATTTTTAATTTTCTGAAATAATAAACATCAGCTAAAATCCCCCATGTATTCCAGTGAGCCTGGAATATCACTAAATTCATACTTTCACACTTTGCTTATCAGAGATTTCTCTCACATCAATGACATCCAATGAATGACTTCATTCCAGTACGAATGTATTTTTTTTATAGAAAACCATGTTGGTAATTTTACTGTATGATGTAGAGGCTCTTCATTCATTATACACTAGATGCTGAAGCCAGGAATCTATTTAAAGAAAGAACTGCTTAATGGGTTTGAGTACAGAGGTACACATGTGGTGAAATAAACCATAACAGTCACACCTAATTGGGGCTTCACCCACAAAAAGGACCTGAACTTGCACTAATCTTTCTTCATCTTCAGATACAAGCTGAATTTAAATGTATTCTTTTTGCCTTTTTTCCTTTCTTATTATACTGACCTTTCTTATTTGTATTTCATGAACACAAGTTTGCAAATTGTATATTCTGCTTTAAAATACTCTAGAAAATAAGATGCATGATTTGTTACTTATGACAATGAGGTTTCCTTCATTCTCTCACATAATGGGTGGTTTTAATTGTTAAGAAGGATCGTGTTTTGAAGCTTCAAAGCATTTTAAAATACTTAGTCAGAAGTAATCCAACTTATAGGGTCAAATTAATATAAAATATGTTGGACTTTCTAGTTTGTAAAACACCTGAAGAAGGCTTCGCGGCCGAAACGTGTTTTCTTTCTCCCTTTTTTTCAGCAGGGAGTAAACCTATTCCAAACTCCAATAAAGTTCAGGTAAAGCCTTTCAGCAGCTGCAAGCCTTTCAGAGCACACTTAAATATTCTTCACGCTTGAACAGGTTTATTTCAAAGCGGCACTGAGGCTTATTTTCATGCAAATAGTACTCGCAACTGCTGGGACATTAATGGATATCGGCTAAAAGACTGCTAATAATCAGAGTTGCTTTAAATGCGATTAATTGCACTTTTTGCACGAATTCACCAGGTAATGTCGTTTCTGATATGTAGCAGTACCAATCTAATGGACAGCCAAAAAAGTCTTGTTGCCTAGTATTTCTTACATGCATAAATGTTTCTTAAATAAATGCTAAAAATCACCACTAAAATGGAAAAGGGGGTAATGTTTAGGTGGTATTCTAACACCTACTTTATGTGCAAGTAAATAACAATTAATTTATTTGATTTTTCCTGAAATGCTCTTGTGTGCTCACTTTATTTCCAGTAAATCCTTTGCTGCTTTTGTACTGTTTGATGGGGTCATCAGGAGGACATGTTGAGGTTACATATACTGTAGCTGTCTTGTGCTTCAAGACTGCCATACATGCACACAAGGGATGGGGAAAACATTGGTGGATACACTCAGGTATCTTTCCAGAAATCCGAGCCCTCAAGTCATCGAGTTCAAATGTTAATATGAATGGATGAGTTTAATTAGTTCATACAGAGACCCTCTGTCTTGCTTGGAGACAGGTCTTGGGGGGATGTAACAGAATGGTATTGTTAGTAGTGTAAGTGCCAAGAATAATAATTCAAGGCATGCTGCCGTATTTTCCCCAGCTGCAGTGCAGAAATCGCTGCCGAGTCGCCAGTCATGATCTCACGTGACGTTGATAAAGCTGACATCACTGTTCCGGAGGAAGGCAATCAATCCATTGTGGTTTCCATGACGATGCCGGCCTGCAGCACGGAGACTAATAACCAGCCTGCTGGAGCACAACCTGCAGAATGTGTAAGGCTGCATTATGATTATCAATGTTTACGTCAGGAAGGCATTTTGTTAATATGTATAAAAATGAATGCATAGCAAAATAAACTGTACAGCATGAATGACACATGGGGCCGGGGCAGGATTTATATTATGAAGCATGCATTAGTGTGCAGTGCAAGATTTCAGGATGCATTGCAAAGGAGTACAGCCCAGGTTCGTTTTTTGTGCCGTTTGTGATGTTGCCTGCTTGTACGGAATTTATTTTTTATGTGTTCTTATTTAGAGGCAGATTATCAATGAGAACATTTAAATACTTATGATTAATAATGTAATAATTCTGAATGTAAAATCAAATATGTACTTACTAGTAAGTACTAGTATACTATCGGGATGCTAAGAATTGATCCTCTAACCTCGTTGATGTTGCGTCACTAAATGCACGGTGTCTTGAGGAATGTTGTACCTGCTGCACCTGTATGCATTTGCTTAAAGGTGTAATAAAAACAACACGAAGACCACATGCAGACCATGCGTCTGGGAGGCTGACGTTCTGAGCTTTGGGCAGATGCTGATATGTGTGGTTTTATGTGTGTAGGTGCTCACTGCTCTAACCATTTAAGTGGGTTATAAGAGTGAAGTGATGTGAATTAGTGTCCCTTGAACACAGTAGTAATAGTTTCCTGTTTACTTTCATTTACACTGTCCTTCCATTTTGCTTTACTATAATTTTGAAATTCCATAACTGATTGATACATATTGTGTTTAAAATTAAGCTACAGGATTTTATATTTCCCAATCTGTTCCTTTTGGATGAAGTTTCAGATCATCAGTGATTGGACCGAGGCGTCTTCGTGGCCCCTCCCTGTTTTGCCTATTGAATCATGACATCTCACAGCTCTTGGTGGACAGTGATTCAGGGTTTTTGCTTGTGTAGTGGGCAGATTTCTCTCCCTCTCCAGAGGGGGTTCTCCTCTGTTCCAGGTCTCTTAAGCCTTGCCGAGACTCGGAATGGGCTCTGATGGGTCTCGCTCTTATTCCAGCAGTCCAGTCCTGGCTGCCGAAGGTCCAGCTCAGACGCCGCCTACGCCACGGCCGAGCCTGTGAGGGCTCAGCGGGAGTGCCGGCTCCGGCCTCACTTCAGCGACCCCATGCCTGCCGACGCCACCAAGAGGAAGCAGCTGGAAATGAAGATTGCGGCCGTGGTGCGACTTCACAGTCAGCGCCGGACCCAAGACAAGGACCCCAGTGAGTGCTTTTGGTTTTCCCTTCTTCAGTGGCCTTGGCGATCTTACAGATTGGGCAAATTAAATTACCCTGCTATTAATGATCTGATGTGCCTTTACAAAGCATTTAGTAGAAGTGGCCTGCGCCCATACTTTCACATCTCATGACTACGAGCACTAAAGCTCCTGTAGCAGTGGTTCCCAGCCCTGGTCCTGGAGGAACGCAGTGTGACTGTGTCTGCTGGTCTTCATTCCAGCTGAGCTCTGCCTTACCTGTGCTAATTGATGATGTAATTGATCTGCCTGCTTGTTTAGACTTTTGGTTTACTTGCTCCGGCACTCAGTCCTAAATTTAAAAAATACCTAACTTTAAGCACAGTGTTTCAGTATACCGACCTTTAATCCTTATATCCTTATAACTTGCTTCCTCTTATTTGTGATTAAACAGCTGTTTATTATGAGCAGACACAAGAGGGAATGACAGTGTATTATACCTTTCTACATTGACTTAATCTTCCATCTACAGAGGTCGAGCTGGTAACAGTTAAGCTAGACATTTAACTGAGGATGGTTCTGAAACTCAGAAGCTGCTACAGCACTGATACTCTGTTGTTACAAATCCCATTTAAAAATTTGCCACCACACATAAAACTGACATTAGTTTGCCTCTGAACTTGGCTGGAGCAAAAAGAAGACAAGGAGGTCTGTCAGAACCAGGACTGGGTGCCACTACTTTATAGTTTAGCGCTCATTTAGCTTGTACACTCTCCAGTCCACTCCATTCCACAATTTTGCTAAAACCGGCTCCTTAATTACCTAATTGATAATTAGGAGAATCATTATAGAAATTGAATAGCGGTTCTCCAGTGGAGTTGATTGGAGGGGCATTCAGACTAAGTAAGCTGCAATACTACTTTTTAAGACTGATTTGTTAAGTTGTATAGTACACTTATGGATTTCTAATCTAATACTTTTATAGTCGTTTATGCTGATCACCTAAGACAGGTCGGGATATTCTTCCTCCTGCCTAACCTCTGTCTATGCCTTCCTCCATTTATGGGAATCAGATTATTCTAGTTCTGTTGTTCTGTGTGGGCAAGGCACAGCTAAGTGGGGCACCTTTCTGTGGGGCATACTGTACCAGCTCCCTCTGGATTTCTGTTAGGAGCTCCGGTTTCCTCCCGTGCCAGTGAATTTAGTGTGTCTAAATTGTTAAGTTGTGTGCTCGGTAGTGGACTGTCCCATCCAGGTCAGGATAGTTCTGCCTTGTGTCTTGCTCTCCCAGAAAGGCCGTGTCCTAAAAGGCTCTTATAAGGTTCCTGCTCGTCAGGAATCAGCGGCTGTCTGTTGGGAATACTGTTTCAGGTGACAGTATCTGAACAGCATCTTGACTGGTTTCCTGAAGCCTGATTTTAATCTGTTTTTTTTTTTTTGGTGGGTGTTTTCTGTGGTGATGGCCTTTACAGCTGTAAGACCTCAAAATTATTGTCATTGCATGTTAGGTGTATTATTTTTTTTAATCCTATAATTTAGCCATCTGTTCCTTAAAGAGAAGCCAAACTTTACTCTTAAAAATGACCGTCCTTTCACCACTGTCCTCAGGGAGGGGTGTGGTACGCACTGGGCCTCTCTTGTTAGCAGCAAGCAGCACATCCAAAGTGTCGTTTGATACTTCACCCACACATTCTAAATGTAATAACACCTAAGCCTGACTGTTTAAAAAGTGTAAACAGTAAACAAGGAACATTTATCTAGGTGAAAATGTTAGGCCGTCCTCACAAAAGAATGGTCTATAATTTATAGCTCACATTTTTCTTTTTTTAATTTTCATTGGCACTAGAGATCGAAGGAAATATCCCATATATCACCCTGGTACCTCAGAAAAGCCGATGCATTTGTCTTTTGATATATTGCATCTGGCACAGTAGCACAGTGCATGTCCCTGAGAAGAGGGAAAGCTTTAAGTGATTGATTGGACCTGCTCACCTTAAGATCCTACTTCCCCTGCAGTCCCAAGAAAGGGCTTCCTGACCTGACTCTGCCTAGTCTTCCGTATGGAAGGCAGCTGCATCGCTGTAGCTTTAGTTTAGGATAATTGCTAGAAAGTCCAACATGATTTATGCCGTAGGTTTTCCATAATTGTGCTCACCAAGATCCCATCTCAGGAGAGTGGAAAGGGAGTTTTCGTGAAATTCGTCTTTAGCGAGACAGTAATTTTGTTTATTTGGCCCTGGTTCACCAAAGCTAACTGTGTTGCCGAAAGCAGGGCTTCGGCCAAGGCAGGACAGCAGGTCTTGTTCTTCATTCCCTGACGAGTGCTCCCGTTTTAACGGAGCGCCAAGAACGAGTGAAGACGTAAAGAATAAAATGTTTGGGTTTGTCGGTGCCTCAGGCCCCGCGGAGTCCGGCGCAGGCGGCGGCGGCTCCGAGTGGCGGGCCGGGCCCGGCCGGGGGGCCCAGCAGCGCTGGAGCGGCGCCAGCGACGCCAGCTCCGACAGCGGCGTGGTGGGTCTGAGCGCCGACCGCGACGAGGACGAGGAGGACCCCCGGGGGGGCGCGCGGGTGGAGAGGGCAGACAGCGGCTATGGGCCCGCCTTGGCAAAGAGCTGGAAACCCGCCCCGGCCTGCAGCAGGGCCTGGGACTCGCACAGGCCCTGCCCCGACTGCGGACACAGGAGCGCCACCTGGGAGCCCCAGGCAGGCAGGAAGGACAGCCTGTGCGACAGGTGCTTGAAGCTCAGGACAGAACGCAAAGAGGCCATCCTGGAATTCCTCAACACCGAGTGCAGCTACAGGGAGGACCTCCGGATCATCAAGGAGGAATTCTACTGCCCCATGCAGACAGCGGGGCTCCTCACAGCCGAGCAGCTGGCTGTGGTTTTCAGCAACGTCCAGGAGCTGATTGATCTCAATGAGAAGTTCACAGAGCACCTGCAGGACAGCATAGACCAGGCCTTCGATCAGGTAGGCCGGGAGCCAGGGAACATATGAGAGAGCTGAATTCCACGGGCAAACACACGAGTTTCCCACAATTGTTTGTTTGTTTTGGGTTATGTTTTTGTTGCCTTGTTTTTTTTTTCAATGCAGAATAATTAGGTTTCTATCTTGAAATATTTCAGAACAGAATGGATTTCTTGATCAGTAATTGGAAATCAATATCTCAGTGTTTTGTTCTTCCTAAAAAGAGGATAAAAACTGACTTTCTAGGTGAGTTTCTAAGCTTTTGAATGATCCTACTTAATGCAAAACTCCCTGACAGAGTGACAGAATAACAAACTTGTGATAACATCTCGGCATCCAACCCCAGTCATTTGACAGCGTCTCACCCTTTTAGGTGACAGTAGTTGTGGGTAAATGTCATCATGCGAACAAGATAGGTCATATTGGAAAGATGCTGCTCCATATTGAAAATCTCTGAACTACGCAGCTGTCTTTAACAGTGCCCGGATAATGAAAAGTTACAATAAGAACATAAAAAGATTACAAACAACAGGAGGCCAATCAGCTCATTTGCTAGTTAGAATCTTGTTGGTCCAGATATCTCAGCCAGCTGTGTCTTGTAGAAGCTGAAGTATCCGACTCAACCACATGCTTGGTTAGCTTGTTCCATAATCCCCACCCAGTGTGCCAGAACAAAACACTTAGTTGAGTTAAAAGAATTAAGTTGTTCTGTGTGACATATGCATGTTATGGCAGTCCAAAAGGAAAAAAAAAGGCAAGGGGCATTTGGTTAAAGTAGGAGTGTGATTATGGATGAGCGTACAGGAGTGTGGTAGGTCCTAGCTGAAGGCTGCAGAAGGATTGATGTTCATGTTTGCACTGTCTTGATTCTTGGCCTTTGTTTACAGGGTGACGAAGACCTCCTGACGGTGTGCATTGGGGAGATCTTTCTCGACTTTGTCAATATGCTTCCAGCTTTTCAGACTTACTGTCTCCAGCAGTCTACATCTGTTAACATGCTCAATTCCCTGGAGAAGGAAAAAGAGCTACTCAGGTGCTGAAAACCAGACTCCACTGAGTAAAAAGGCAGTAATGACTCTCTGTGGAATAGGATACCCAGGACAAGTCCTGTTAGCTTGCACTTGTATCAGCTACATCTTTCTGTGGAGATATCAATGAGTCATTGAAGTTGATACTCATACATACTGTACTTAAGATATTTCAGGTGTATGCAAAGAATCATTTGAGGGATTTAAGGAAAATGCTATAATACATATTTTGAGACATGTTTGAGTCAGTGGTGACTTCCAGTGCATTGGATTTCATTTAATTAGGAAGTACATTATTAACTAATATTTATTAACATGAATATTTTGCAGTATGAATTGTTGCCTTTCACAGTTCTGTCTAGGCTGTGAGGTGAGAGGCCGGTTAAAGCAACGCACTCTGGCTTGTCTTTGGCAGGATCTTTCTCGACGTCTCCCAGAACGACAACACCGCCCTGCGTCGCATGAACCTGCGGTCGTTCCTGATGGCGCCGCTGCAGAGAGTGACAAAGTACCCCCTGCTGCTGAGCCGCATCAGCAAGGCCACTCACGCCTACCACCCTGACCACAGCAGCCTGAGGGAGGCCAAGAGCCGCGTGGAGTCCCACCTGGAGCACATCAACATGAAGACCAAGCAGGAGGGCGCCCCCTGGTCCCTGCGCTCCTTCCGCCGCGACAGCCGCCGGAACCGGGAGCTGATCGACATCGAGATGCGGGAGATGTCCATGAAGACGGTGGGCTGGCCCCGCGAGGACACCCGCTTCGTCATGGAGGGGCAGCTGCAGCTGTCGCAGCCCTCCGACGGCCAGTGGGCGAAGAAGGGGAGCAGGGCGCTCAAGTTCCAGAGCGTGCACGGCCTGCTGATGGTCAGCCTGAAGAGGGCGGCGGAGGGCGGCCCGGAGGGGGCGGCGGGCGGCGCGGACGAGGCGCAGGACCCCGTGCGGGACGGCGTGCTGGTGCTCATCAAGGACCGGAGCAGCGGCAGGCTCTCCGTGCTCCGGGAGCCCATCCGCCTCGGCAACTGCGTGGTGTCCTCTGACCCGGACCGCGCCGACACCTTCGAGCTGCTGGACATCCGCCGGGAGGCCTTCGTGTTCCGCGCGGCCGAGAAATCTCGGACGCACCAGTGGTTCCGCACGATCAAGAGGTACTCCCGGGAGCTGGGGCTGTGGAGGAAGCGGCGCAACGCGTTGCCGAATATCATGATCAGCACAGTTCAGAACCGCACCTGACGCCGGGCACAGGAGTCGAGCACAAGCCCTGGCTGGGCGATGGTGGAACTAGAAAACCTTTATCCTAAGATTAACACACTTACCACTTTGCACCTTTAAGGGAGACCTGCAATCTCAAACTAAACGGACCTGACTAGAAAGATTATTTTTGTTCGGCCTTGGGAGAAAGCAGATCAGTTGAGCACTTTGGAGAGCGCCGTTTGGTATCAAATACAAACACAAGAAACAAGGCAATACAGGTCACAGGATGTGATCGGCAGTCCTTGCTGGCTGGAAAGAATGTTTCAGTACCGATGGCAAAAAAACCCTCCATAATAATTAAAAGAAACTGACATGACGCGTGTCCGTGTTAATAAAGCAAGCATGATTGAAAACTACTGCAAAAAATAAATTGTGAGAGTTCAAATTGTTTGTTAAAATGCACAAGTGAGTGTAAATACTTTAGTAGATTACCAGTTGGAACTGTAACACAATATTCTTTATTACTCTTGAGTTTTTTTTCAGGAGCAGTCACTGCAAAGGTTCCCATCGTGTTACATGTAAGTCTTTACCCAGATGCACTAGGGATCTGGGGAAGATAGGCTGGGTATCCTCTTATCTAGCTAAGCCTGTACTGATGCCCACTTTTTCCTCAGTGAAGGATTCCCCTCCTAAAAGCACCAGCATTCCCTGGTAATGTCTTCTGAAAGTGAAAATCATTCCTGTTATCAAGCTTGACCCTGTAGTGCAAAGAAGGAAAAGACAATGTTTTAAAAGAAATGTTTTGTTTTTTTATATTTCAAGCTTTGTAATTAAGAGTCACAAGACAATATTTACTAATTTTGTCAGCGGTTATCTCCATTATATGAAAAGTAGAATTACATTGAAAATTCATCCGTGACCTTATTCTCAATTATTACACACTTCATATAATGAGACATGCTCTAAAAGAGACATCTTAAAGTCCTCAACACTGTCTTTTTTGGAGTTAGGACTTCTACCTGGGGATTACTAGTGAAGCTGGAGGAGTCCCTTATATTTAGTTACAACTTACAATACAATACATTAAGTTGCAACTTGAACAGCAGAGTAAAATAAAATTGGCGACTACACAGTATAGAGTATGGTGATGCAGGGCAAAGGGCTGAGGTAATTAAGGACAAGGTCATGGAGTGAGGCACAAGCACTCATGGTGTGTTTGGTCCGAGCTACTGGGGTGGTTTTGAGATTGTGTTTTTACAGTTTGGTTTCTCAATCTTGGAAACGAGTTTGCTACTTATTGTGACAGTGGCTGTCCGGAGTATTTCCCTTGTCGTCTTTAATTTGGTTTAAATGAGAGCTCTGCATTATTGCCTTTCCATTCCTGCACAGTATTGTGGGGGGAAAAAAAGACTAAATCTAATTATCTCTTATCTCAAGGCTGTTGATTTAAGATTATTTTTAAAGCCAGGCTGGCTAAGTTCATGGATGTCTTGTTTTTGTCCGTCTGCACCTGTGTGCCCAGCAGCTGACTAGCGCCCTCTCCAGGGCACAGCCCAGCCTTACATCCTCTGCTTCCAGAATAGACTCCAGTTTACTGCAACCTCCCACAGGAAGAAGCGGCTCTCCAATACTGGATGGATAACTTCGCTATAGAGATGCAATAAGCAGTAAAAACACTGCACTATCCTTACTGTTAGAACTAGCCAGTGATGTCCTGCTCCCGTGTAACAGCTTCCAGTTGACCAACATCATAATTCTCTTGGCTTCTACTTTTCTGGACTTGTGAGAATGTACTGTACATATTGTAACATTAAAGGAACCTCCATCAGTCTCACATGTCTGAGCTACTGGGGTGGTTTTGAGACTGTATTCAAACGTTTTCTATATTTAAAATAAAGACCTACATATTTCTTTTCTGAAAAAGACTGAATTGTATAAAAAAAACATTGACTTCTTTGCAGCTTTGTTTTGTTTTCCTCTTCCTTGTGATATGTACATTTTTTCATAAATCCACTGCAGATTAGGCTGTCTCTTCTTGGTGTCATAGCAGGTTACGGGAATTTTCATTAGTGCAGTTTCTCCGATTACTTCAGCACAGTAGTGATTATTTCCTATGTGGTCTCAGAAGTCTATATTCAATGCTGAATACACTATCAACATCATGAAATATAAACAGGAATTCAAAAGAACACAAATGCTTCCTTTAAAAGTATTAAGATGTAGTAATGGTTTCCAAGACACCATAAGAGATCATCCAAATGCTTAGGGCAATCCCTGCTCATACAATAACTCACAGATTCAGCAAAACAGCTCTTTATTAAATGTTTGTTACACTGTGCAGGTGCTAAAATCACTCACAAAAAAGTAAACTTATCTTATTGCTCAGATGAACTGATAAACGTATTCCTAGCAGTTGTGAACGTTGTTTCTTTGAAAGAAAATTATCTTAAGCAAACCAATCAAAGCAACCATTTATCTGCAATAGTGTACAGATAAATGGTTGTACTTGTTTGAAAATGCTTTCTTTCCTCTTCCAATACTGAAAATCTAAAATGGCACCCTGAGCCAAACCCCCATATGCATAAAAAGATTGATCTTTTCTGAAAAACAAAGATATTCTCTAAAGTTTTCTTTAAATGTAGTTCTCGGAAACAAAACGCTTATTTGTTGTACTTAAGGATTTTGATCACGGCCAACATGCATTTAATTAACAAAACTTGAGCACAACTTATGATGAAATGCCAAGGTGATTTTCACAAAAATGATTGGCCTCAAAAAATTAGCTCACACCTTGAACACGTTTTTTTACTTTCTGAACACCCTTCGCAACACTAAGTAAAACCAGCAATGGCCAAACATCCAAGATGAATGGTGAAATGTCTTTTTTGGTAAAGAAATTTTCACCCTCGATGATTACATCAATGCATCCCCGTAAATCTAAATTTTGAAACAGCAGCAGAATCCAATTACAGTACACTTTTTAATGTACTTAAAACTCTTCTGGTGGGGTGAACGTATTAAGAACATGATTTTTTTTTCCCCACTTCAAAAGGGGACAAAACAGCTCAACAGAAAAGATACAGCAAACCCACTGTGACAACCACTACCTTCTCTCCACACCATTGCTTACAAAAAGGTAAATTCTCTTTCCTGTGAAACACCAAACAATCCTGATAACTATTGGCACATTTTTTTTCTGAGGTAAAAGAATCAGTAACACATGTGAAGCTTCAAACTGGACATTTTGAAGGATGAGATTCATGAATATTTATGCACAGAGTGGCTTCCCTATTGCGATATCGTACAGACTTCATTCAAGGGAAGATAAGACATGGTTTTAGAAGTGCTTTCATGGCCCTCATTTTCAGCATTGTAATAAACAACAAAAAGCTCAAATTAAACATTTGCTTCACATGATCTCATTTAACATTTATCAGGCACTGGCACGTATACAGTATATAATTCCAAATGAACACAAATAAATCCGTTAACTCACAGAGAGCATCTGGGTTACAATATTTTATGGAAATAAAACAGAGGAAACTGGGGATGGAGATTTAATTAAAATTATATTTTAAAATTAAATTAGTGAAAGGAAATTGTATACCTATCTTGCACATCAGTTTTAAAAACTTTTTACATAAGTGCCAAGGGATATTTGCATATTCTTTCACAGGATGTGAAAGGCTGTTTAACAACACTGTTGCAGAGTTTCATGCAAGCTTACTACTTAATTGACACAAACCTTTTCGGTCTGCTTCAAAGTCTGCTTCAAGAACCTCTTAGGACAATTCCTTTCTGAATAGTTCAGAACCGTTGTTCCTCTGCAGTTAATTCTACAGCAGTTGCACGTGGCTGCACAAGGGGCCTGACAGGGTCAATACAAATCATTCACAAATCCCATTAGAATAAAGAGTTCAGATATCTCGGCTCAAAAGACAATTAAGCCACAGAACAGTAATGAAACTTCATCATACGACATAAAAATAGGCTTACTGGTATGTTAAATGACTACGACCTGTACAAGAAATGAATGGAGCAAAACAAAATATATTGAACTTCGAAGCTACAAACAACTTGAACAGCTGCACAGTCCTGCCACAGGATCAAAGAAGAGCTCAGGTTCGCCCTCCGGCCCCCCGCCCTTCTGCTCATCTACAAACTACGCTAAGAGACGCGCTCCGGCTGCTGGCCCCTTCTCCCCCAGCGCTGGTGCCACCCCTCGCCCGGCCCTCACTGGTCGCCGGTGCTCGCGCCCTCCTGCTCCTTGGCCAGCCCCCGGATGGAGAGGTCGTACACGACCTCCTCGATCTTCTTCACGTCGTACTTCAGGCCGTCGTAGCGCTTCCGGAGCGGGTCGTTCTTCAGGTTGAGGAGCCGGAAGCCCGAGTCGAGCTCGTTGATGAAGTGGGAGATGCGCAGGGGCCGGGTGTAGTCCCCCGCCGTCACGCTGTTCACCGCCAGCCTAGACTGCAGGACAGGACAGAGCATCGGGGACAGAAATAAGGGACGTTTGAAAAAGCACCCCAGTCTGAAGGACTTAAGCAGCTAAACTTGTAGATGCTGAAAAGAGAAAAAAAGCAACACGAAGGCTGAAGAAGGCAAGAAGGCCCCACAGCTGAAACGTGTGTGTTTCTTTTCTTCTCTTTTCAGCGCAGAATAAATCTTCACCTGTTCCTTTGCAGCCTACGCCTGCCGAAGCAGCTGCCCTACCCGAACTATTTTTAAACTTGTGGATGCCGTAGCAACAATATTTAAACCCTTTCAGAGTCAAATTATTTTTCTGGATCTAGAAATATTCAAATCAAAAGATCATCTAATGAGGTTTCATTTTCAAAGAGAATCGTATTCTTTAAGGGCTCATTTTTCAGAATTGCAGTTCAGACTACACTAATAATTATATTTCCCTGTTTTCTTATAGCAACTTTTTCTCTCAGAAGATCCCAAACGGCTCTACACCTAGGAGGGAAGCCACTCTGGGCCCCGATATACAGCAGATCATGTAGAGAAGTGATAAAGTGCAGCACCCATTGAATGAAGGGGAAAATGTAGTCTGGCTAAACTAAAGAGGCCAGGACCTTTTGATTCATGACCAAACAGGCAGCACCTCAGTTTTTCACATCTCATTCAAGGGACAACACTGCCATACTGAGGCACTGGGTGTGAAATTCTGCCTCTGAGGGAGTAGTGCCACCTTCTGGTGCACCAACACGAGGAAAATGATGCATTTAACCCAAGCTAAAGCACCAAAGCTTTAGAACATACCACTCAGATATTAATGACAATTCTCTGTCCTTTCATCAAAACATTTCATTGTCACAGCTAACACTCAGTGGGATTTACAGAGCACAGCTGTGCTCCTGTACGCTCCTGGTGCACACATCATAAACAATCTTCTTTAATTAAACAACAAGCCTTTTCTCACTCTGTTTGCTGTGCACGTCTGAGAGCACTTTGCCAAAAGTAAATGCTTCAGGGAAGATAGAGCTTCACTTCATATTAACCCCTCTCATCCAGTCCATGCATTGAATGTGAAAACATGTGAGAAGAGCAGTGTGCAAGAGCTATATATATAGCGAAAGTCAGTGATGATTGTTTTGAAACGGCTGAGTGAGACTGGCTTGTGTATTACCCTCCCAAACGTCATTCCCATTTGTTATTTAGTTCATGTTTTTATAACCTGCATGCAGAAACCTGAGTTTGTCTACATTAAAGGTAATCTGCCAGGTGTTTTCCCTATCATCAATATGATCTAAACCTTTTTGAAATTCATTTGCTGGCTCATCAGTGGTTGCTGATCCACCTAACACAGTACCATCTGAAAACGTAAGTATTTTACCAACAGTATCAGAATAGATTTATTGATATAAATTAAGGAGCAGTGCCCCTTGTTCAGATCCCTGTAGGATCCCACTTATTATATCACCCCACCTTTCCCCATTTATCTGTACCCTACATTTTCTGTTCGACAATTACTTTTAAAACCAAACACACAAATTACTTTTCAATCCAATCACATTTCCCCGAATGCCTACTGCCTGCGGTTTCAGAATTAATTGTTTATGATTAACTTTTATTCAAGCCTTTAGAAAATCTAAACACATCATGTCATATGCTCTGCCTGTATCCACTACTGATGTTGCTTGTTCAAAGAACTCTCAAAAACTTACGTTAGGCAATACCTATGTTTTCTAAATCCAAGCTGACCATTTCCTAGGATGTTATTTTGATACAGATGATCCTCTAGTTCTTATAATCTTGTCCATTCCATTACATGTAATAAAGGCCAGACTTATTGGTCTACAATTCTTTGGTTAGGTTTTATGTCTTTTTATGGATATGTACAACATTTGCAATTCTCCAGTCCCTGGGTACTATCCTGTCCTAAGCGAATGTTAAAAGAAGAATAATTATCTGCACCTTTTAACAGATTTTTGTTTGAAATTCTCCACACAAAGCATTCTTAGAATGACAGATTTGACAGAGAAAATGCTAAGTAAACATGTTTGTGTTGTGCTGAAACGGAACAAAGTGCTAACAGTTTCTCACCAGCTCACTGGCCAGGGTTAATATACCTGACAGATAATCTTCAATGTCAAGATGAAAGCCTTTCTCTCTGTCCACTTCAACTGCAGGAAAAAAAAAAGAAATTTTACATGAGGCAGAAGGAATTCCGTTTAAGAATATAGACTTCTTGACATTTCTGCTCCACATTTTTTTTGAAGGAGTTGTGACTAAAATATAATAACACGTTTTAGTGAACATAATAAAAGATCTATTCAGCTCATCTAGCTTGTTTGGGTTTGAGAAGCTAATTGCAGTACATACCCAGACACATCAGTGACACAACAGTGATCTCTTTTTCCAAACTGTTCTAGCTATTTGACAACAAGCAAAACCATATGACAAACAATTCCATCAAAGGCAATAGCACAAAACACATTTCGCACAAGAATACCACAGCTGTACTTACTGCCTAATATTCCAGCAACTTCTTCTCTCGTCACTAGAGTTTCACCTTCCAAATACACAACAAAGGCAGCCAGAAAAGTTACACGCTGCAACACAAACCTCCAGTGTTCGTGGAACCTGAGAAAAAAGAATGAGCACAAATTATACAAAGAACATAGACGTCACTAAACTGGGCAACATAAAACTACACAAGGTTTAATACCAATAGTCAATGTGCTCTAATGAAACTGATCCCTCCCTTTCCTATTTTCCTCATCTTCACACTGTTAATTAACACTGGCTCTATAACGTATATCCTCACCAACAACAAAACAGCAAAATAAGTGATATTACTCAACCTGCAGAAAAGAGACTTAGAGATGGCCACAGAAGCAAAGAGGGTGAGGAAGAATGATTGTACCCATTTATTACAGACATTTATATTTGTTCTTGGTGAAAAAAGACTCTCCATGGTGGACAGTGAGGATGAACAAATGATCAGACTGCCTGCGTGCTGCAAACGTCTTGCAGTTTGCAGCACGCAGGCAGTCTGATCATTTGCTTTGTGCTTTCAGTCACCTGTAATACTGCTCAGCTGGAAACTTGGTCTTCAGATCACCCAGGTGATTCCTTACAGTGCAGAAAAGTTCCCGAGCCTTTAAACATTTACTTGGAACTAAAAAATATAAAGCACATAAAGGCAATTATTCATCTCAGTAAACACACAGAACAACAAATGTATGCATATTTCAAAGTTAAACAGGCCTTCAAAAGATTCCACTATTGGACAGATTCCTGAAACTGCTCCCGTACTTACTGTCCTTGAAGCCTGAGGGTTGATGGACACTTTGAAGTACGGTCAGAATTTCTCTCGCAGTTTGCTCTAGTACCTGCACAACTTTTCTTATGTCCTGAAAAGCAGACAAGCAAAATACAGTTTTCACGCCTTTCCGTGTAAAACACGTTAATTTGCGTAAACGGGGTTGAAAGTTCCCCGAGAGTCAAAGGAAATAACATTATTTAACATAAGTTTTGATTGAAATGCCACCCAAAAAAAAACCAACACAAAATTAGTATAGAAACATCTTGTCTGTCATAAAAGATGTTAACACACAGGTATAGTATTTCTATATTTTATATAAAATATATTAAGGCATTCGTATTATCTTATGATGAAGACAGAAGGGGGTATTGGTCGGCGTGAGAACTGCAAATGAACCAGTAGAAGTTACTCCTACGTATTTTCACACACCTGAAGATGGCACTACAACCGAAATGTTGTATTTTTTTTTTACTTTCTACTTTCCAGTGCGGAATTAACCTCTTTTTGTTCATTAGCATTATCATAAATTATTATACGCTTTAGCCAAGAGTATTACACATTGAATAATTTCAGTACCTCTCTCACATCTTGGTCCGCGCTCAGATATTCCTGAATGTTGCTGAACATTTCTGTGACTGACATTTCTCACGACTTATCGTAATACTAGTACAGCAAGTGATTAAAAATACTGAGGTAAACTGAATCTAAACGCACAACCATCAAACAAAAAAGGACTGACAACGTGCTTCCACTGGGTCCTTTCTCGCCGTGTCGCCCTCAAATGATGTCACGGATACTGTAGGAAAATTACAACGACGGCGTTTATTTGCATTTAAGATATATATTTTTTGCAATAGGAAAACGATGCGCTTTATATGTAATTAAATACAAACGTGATAACACTCAAAAGAATTATAACTGATTGGAATTGAGGTCAACATTTTTTTATTTCGCACATAAGATCAGGCACAAGAAAGCCCCCCAAGTCTTTGTTTGGGGTTGTTTACAAACATGACGGTGTGAACGGGCTGACGAGTAATGTTATAGTAAAACGAAAAAACAACAACAACAACAACAACAACAGTAGTGCATCAGTAGTGTGTATGAGATAAAAGAATTAAATGAAGAGTCGCTTCGGGGTGAGGTCGACAGTGTGAAATACAGACAGGGGGCCGAGGTTGTAGGGATTATATTGTGCTCTCATTTCCAAGAAAACGAGGGAGCATGCTGAAGGGACAGCCTGAGTCGTATTACCAAAAATGACCAAGCGTATTGCAGGATATTGTAGTACCTCTTCCAGTGGTTTTATTATACTTTCAGATACATGTTTGTACATACACCACCAGGCAGGTTCTGCGTTTTCACTTTGTGTTACGAGTCAACACCTTACAAGTTTTGTTCAAGACTTCAGTGCACCTCAGTACACTTTTCCATTTACGAGGTGTCTTTAGATTTTTGGTGAAAATGACTCGAGGCGTCTCCGACATACAAATTAGCTGCTGCATTTGATGTAATGCTAATCGTGTTGACATGCTTTGAGTGAGTTTCTTCTCCCCTAGATGAGAAACCGGTTCCTACTTACTGAGGAATATCTTCCATCTTTCGATTAACTTGCCTCGACTTCGGGGAAACGAAAAATAAGTTATCAAACATCACATAAACAAGGGCTGGAAATGGAGCCCCACATGGAACCCACAGACACACGGTGGATTTGCTATTGTTGTGTGGCTGATAAGAGACTGTAGAAGAGGTTATTGTATTGAATGAAAGTTGAGAAACGTTCAAGGAGGGAAAACAACCACAAATCAAACTCGCACATCTGTGCTTAATCGCCATCATTACGAAATTGGCTACATATACAACTCAAACGCCTCCCTTCCTTTCGGTGCTGCACCTTGGTTTGCTGAGCCTGGATGGGGCTGGAGTCGCCTCGTCCTTTGACCCGGAGGCTCCCGATTATCCAAGGATGTTCCCTTCAGCAAACTATTCTTCCAGTTGAGAAGGAATAAAACTCTTCGCTCAGTCTGAATGAACAATTGATAAGATTCAACCCTCACATTATTATGAACTGCATTCAAACTAATTTTTGGTACAATTTGTTATTTGGGTTCTGTCCCTGCTGTTCTAACCTTTTTTGTCTTTAAAGGCAGCTGTTTCTTTTTATCTTTTTTCGCTGTGTAGGGATATGTCAAATATCAGGAACAGCTATTCCACGAGAGCTTGATGGATAAATTCTTAACCCTGAAAGAAATGACTTGTTTTAAAAAAACAAACAAAAAGTATTTATTTCTTGGAGTATTTAATGTACCCATTTCTGTATGTTAAAGTAAAAAAAAAAAACATTTACTGTTGTTCTTAAATGTAACATGTAAATGACTACCTTAAAAACATTACAATACACAAAACAAATGGTACAAAATACATTTACAGAATGTTAAAAAATGACAAATATATAAAAATTCTTAACATTTTTAGTGTTCATTTAGACATTATTATACTTTTTTACTGCAGAAACGTTGTTTTGGAGTGACACCTGGAGATGAAGAATCTGAAACTGATTTGATTTTAACAGAAGTTAATATTCAGATAATTAAAATAGTACCTAATTTTCTTATTCTAAACACTGATAACCTCTCTTTAATAGAAAATATTAGATGTACACTTTGTCTGTACCAAGAAGAGACTCATTCTGGTCTTTTCTTGCAAGCTAATGCCATGTTACTGATACCACTTTATTTTTCATTTAAGATTCAGTACCCAGGGGTCTCAGATTTTTTTAGATGATGCATCTAGAAACTATTTCACACATTTTGCAACCAGGGAGATATTTTCATCAATTTGGCCTGTTGTTTCATCTTACCCTCTAACTGTAGTTAAGCTTTTTATTTACAGTAACAGCAAAGTGTGAAGGAAGGGCAACGGGATAGTGGAAAGCCTATGAGTGGAACAGAGAAATTCTGCAATTTGAAACACACTGCACAAAATGGAACCCCCTGGCACTGACATAATGAAATTGCTGTTTCTACACTTGCCAAATCTAGGTAAACTGGCGCATCAGACAGATGTTTAACTGTGCAGTGGGCTGGACAGCCTTCCTGGTACAAATCAACAGCATTGGACTGTAGCGCAGTGGCATGGACACCATTGATGGGATTTGTATTGGCAGGAACCAAGTGAAGTGAAGGCTTTGTGTGGGTGAATCCCCAGCCTGCACCATCCACATACAAGCCACCCGCTGAGAGGCATCACTGAGGGGCCGCCTGGCTTTTACCACTTTCGACCATCATTGTTTACTTCTCACTGTGTTACTACCGAGTCCCCTGTCAGTCAGCTGACACTTCTCATCGCCCTTTCTTTCAGTTCTAAATGTCCCACCTAAGGGCAGCCAGGTGGCGCAGTGGTTGGCGTTACTGCCTCACAGGGCTGGGGCCCTGGGTTGAAGTCCTGAGGTGCTCTCTGTGTCCAGTTTGTATGTTCTCGTGTTTGCCTGAGCTTCCTCCAGGTGCTCTGGGTGTCCTCCCACAGTCCAAAGACACACTGTGGGTTAGCTGTCTTCTGGGTGAAATTGGCTCCCTGGTGGGAGTGTGTGTGTTGGTGTCTGTGTGTGTCCTGTGATGGACTAGCATCAATGGTGTTCCCTGCATTGTGCCCATTGCTTGCCGTTATAGGCTCTGTCTCCCCCCATGATGCTGTATTGGATAAAAGCGGATAGAAAATGGAGGGATGTCCAAATGAGTTCACACAGTATGGTTATGGGTCCCAGGATGGTCCTTCACTTCTTGATGTAGGGAACCGTGGAGGCTGGGGGTTTCAGAGGGCCTGCAGGCCTGGAGAGGTTTCCATTGGCTGGAGTTTTTGGGTCAGATGGGGCAGCTGGCTCCCTGGGTCTGTCTGTGTTCGCTACCTGGACCTTTCCAGGCTGGTCGCCCTGGGCTCGGTTCTGCTTCTCCTTCTCCAGCGCCTTCTCCATCTCGGTGTAGTAATCCAGCGCCTTCCGCACAGGGTCAATGATGTGTTGCTAAGGACAAGGGGCAAGGAAGCAGCAGTGGGACAGAGAGTAGAACCGATTACTGAGGAGGGCAATTTATTTTGAGTGCCACAGTAAGACACTGTCAGGACGATTAAGTTAAAAAACGCTCCATCAAAACATCTGCACACATTGTAATATTCCGATTTGCTATTTGCATTTGCAGGTAAAATGTTTATCAGAGAGCTTCATTAGGAAGCTCTTGTATGTTTTTTTTTGCCTTGTAGTTTTTAATTCATTTTAAAGCTACATAATTTCAATGTGTCATATAGCATGATTGTATATACTGTACTTGTCTTAATGCTTTGATCCAGGTGGGCTACAGAAAATGGCACCATTGTGTGCAATCATTTCAGCATTTGCACAGGGGTAGTAATTGTTTGGCGTTACTCTTGTCTTGCAGCATCCACAGGAAAGGTAGTAAAAAAGAGGCTGTAAGTCACAGTATTTGGCAATGTGTAAAAGTACATCTGTAAACACTAAACACAGGGCCTTGTGCTGGAGAAGTAAATGCAAGAGATGGTTCTCCTTACCTCCAGGCTGGGAAAGAGGTTTGCAAGCTCTATAAATAGAGGTAGCAAGACAAAGCGGATGAAGCCGGTCTGCGAGGAAGGCTTGGTCACCTTGTCTCTATCCATAAATGGGGTTACAGGGAGACCTTCCAGCTTTTCCATGTCGCTCTGAAACAGTAATATGTCTGCAGTCACATGTTCTGTAAGCCAGAAAGTGCTTACCAGCCTTGTTTGGAGAAAATATTGCGTGAAAAAGGTTAGCTAACCATCTAATGTGTTGTCTGTTTTGGACACAGTCAGATCATTAAAAAATTATTTGATCTTAGGAGTTTTTCCTATTCTTAGTAGTAGTGATCTTGATCTCATTATAGTAGTCAAAATAAAACCACAAAGCAACCTTTTTTCTAACCAAAATAGAAATGTATGTTGTTCTTTTGCTGATACATGCACCACAAACAGAAGTTATATTGTTAGAAGGAGAACTCTTCAATGCTGTATCAAGCACAGTGAAGCAAGGGTGATTGTCCTGTTTTCCTGCCAGACATCTACTGCATGAGCATTTATGTTAAACTGTGCAATTAAGCACAAGACCAAGCTACCAAACACTATTATTTGTCTCTTTTCCATTTTCTGGTGGGTGTTGTGAAAATCTTGTTTGTTGAAATCACACACTTTCATTATGCAAGTGATGGACTGGACACTGGACAAAGAAACAGCTGACACTCCGAAGCATGTTTGCTTGACAGGGGGGCACTGTACTGAATGAGACAGTGAAAACAATCTGTCATTTTTTTTGGTATTGCGCCCATTGCAGCACTTTGCCACAGAGTGCTTTACAGATTTAGCAGGAAACAGAACCGCCAGAAAAAAATACTGTAAGTGGTTGTAGGATTTCAATAGGCGCAAAAATATAGTCTAAATAATGCTATTTTGGACCATTAGTACTCGCAGAAAAAGTAGTAAATACAAGTAAAGAAAGATGTCTGTCTCACTCTTTAATTATGGTGCTGGGTTCCTACTGATTCCACTGTAACTTCTAACAACAGGTTCCTCTATTGAGAATAGGGCTGAACATAGTGTGCAGGGTTCCAGCAGGAACATATCATTTGATTCTCACGCAACAGGGCTCTGACCAGTGCAGGTCACTTATTCGGGCTTACCTGGTTAAAGAACTCCTGCAGTAGGCAGTCCAACCACGGCTCTGCGACGTCCATGGGCCGAGCTTCGTTAGAGATATCGCTGACTTTGATCATGATCATCATCAGCTGCAAGTCAACACCAAATACGTGAGCAGGGCTGACCCAATAGTGCACATCCAGCATCACTGTGCCTGTGATTTCAACAAGGTCTGAGCTCTTCGCTCAGATTACATCAGACTTGTACAAACCTTTGATTGTGCTTGACTGAAGGCCTTTGTCCCGTCACCTAGTGCTAGATCTGACATTGACAATTGCTTGATGGGTTAAAGTTTTCATCTAATCTAGGCTATAATTAGACCAATGACACATTTGTATTAAATATCTGCAGGCACACCACATATTTCACCTTAATTTCTGCATTCTTTCAGGCTAGGACATTTCTCACCAAAGCCTTACCTGGTCAAAGTTGTGGATTTCTGTCTCCATGTGTCCTCTTAAAACTAATTTTGTCCGTTTTGTCCAAAACCACAGCAAAAATAAATAAGATGACATTTGCATTTGCAGGAAACTCAGTCACATTACTCACAACGTCTTTGTGGTCCTTGTTAGTGAAGTCAAATGCTGGCAGGATGGACTTGAACTTGTTCAGGATCTCGTTGTGTCTTGCCATGTCTGTAGCAAGTATGCACCTGGAATGGAAATCAGGAACTCCTGGATCACTCTCTCATAAGAACGCATGGGTCTTACAATGAAACACACCCCCTAGCTGTTTCGGCACTGATATTGCATGGATGCATTCAAAGATCCATGATAAATACAGTATAAGTCGAAAAGTGTTTTTTAACATGGAGTTTACAACCAAAGTTCAGGCGAGATGACAGCAGTCAAATTCAACCTCATCTTGGCTGCCATAACTTGTAATCATTCCTGATATCTTTTCATATTAAAAAATATAAATAGGTAAGCCCCCATCTCTCCTGCACATTTGTCTTCTGTCTCTCCTCCACCCCTGCTCCTCCTGTGCAGCTGCCCCTTGGTCACCCCTCTCTCTGCAGGGGGTCCCAGCCTCCTCGTCCTACAGCCAGTGTCCAGCCCTGAGCCAAGCTGGTCGAGCCAAGTCTCAATGTGACTAAGCTCTCAATACACTAAGTACTTGGGTGCTATTATTCCTCATGCATTAGAGAGGCTGCTGTGATCTCAACACCTGTCATTCTCCGTGCCCATCCCAGTACAGCACTGGGTCCAATGCTGTGAGTGGAATGGCTGAAACACCATTTCCAGTGGCTGGGGTGGCACGAACATGTCGAAGAAGCTTGAACCAGAGAGAATTAAGCAGAATTAAGCAGTTAGCAGGAGGTCATTCATTAGGAAGCCTTACTTGATCATTCCTTCTCTTATCCTTTTGTATTGTTCTGTTGAAAGATTTCTAAAAATATTGTTTTCCGTCTGTGAAGACAAAAATTAAATATACAAGGACAAAAAAAGTAAACGCAGTTATTTTACATTTCTTAAGTCTTCATACAGTATGAACATTTATTCTATGGTTTTCCTCTGTCATTGTACGGCTTCTAATATAAAGCTTTCATTATATGTCATACAGTATATGGAAATGACAATTTCCATCCATTTACAAACCTTTTCAAGGATTTCAAAAGCCACTGCACAATGATGATTCTCTAATGGTGAAATGTCATTATATCTCAGTGCCAGTTCTGTACGTGCATTGATCTAAAAGAAAAAAAAAGGACAATTTTATGTCGGCACTGTAAGATTAATAAAAAAGAGTGGCGTTTTAAAACTGGAGATTCAGTACTGTTTGATCAGGCTCCTCAAATATAATCCTGCAGGAGGGAATGGTATATTTTTCATATGTAATTCCTACATCAGTGATTTATAAAAAGGTGCAACATACTGTATGTATTTACTCTGAAAAAAGAATTAACTTGGTTTTCCGTAGCAGTGAAAATGAAGACATTTGATGTGTGAGGTACTATAGAAGGCAAAAGCTTTGGAAGTAGCATCACGCCCTTCACTGAACAAATGTAAAGGTTCTCAGATATACATGCCAGTGAAAATGTCTTTCCTTTATCTGAAAGTCTGTGCATGGCAGACTGAGAATGAGAAGTTCATCATAAGGCATGTGCTCTTTAGCATTGCTCAGTCTTACAGAGAAGCGAGAATTGTCTCCTGTGTGTTTTTGTTCTTGAAACACCTGCCTGATAAGCATTGTTGTAGCCAGTATGGTCTAAATCATGACAGACAGCAGATGTCATCATAGTCAAGAGGTCGATGTCATCAAATTTGCTCCTAAGATCAGTCAGCCATATTAAACCATACATCTGGAAGTGAGCAGAGAGAACAACATCAGATTTGTATTCCAAAGGCCTGTTCAATGGGACACTGTGTTTGATTAGTTCCCTACAGTTCTTCAGGTCTTAGTACAAAGACAGATTTGTATCTAAGTGTGCATGCTTTGTCGAAGGTAAGAGGAATTCAACCGGAATTTCAATTATAAATCAGGTACTACCTTAACATGGCTCAGACACATACAGTAGAACTGTCATTAGCAGGTAGAAGACCACTTAAAACTGCTATCTTGTTCTTGACACCTCAACATGTATACATGGGTCTGTGACACTGTAAGAGCATGAGAAAGGTATAAACAACAGGAGGCCATTCAGCCCATAGAGCTCATTTGGTTTCTCAGTAGCGAATTGATCCAAGGATCTCATCTGGCTGCTCCTGACAGAAACCATGGTATCGAACTGATCATCGTGGCAGGGCAGCTCGTCCCAGCCTGCCACAAGCCACGTACTGTCTGGATGGAACATCCATTTTAACAAGTGACAAGGCTGTCAGACAAGGAAAAAAAAAGATTTTAGAATGGCTTAGTGTTAGTTAGAGTTAGACCTAACAAACCCAACATTTATTAGAATACAATAATAATAATCTCTGTAGGTTTTTTAATTTCCCATTTCGGCCCGCTGATAAGAACTTTAAAATGTCGAAACGCCTTACCATCTGAGTTACACAAAAGCAGTGCTTGAAGTTGTGGAAAGGGATATTGTTGTAGCGCCGGTAGACCTCGTACAGGAACTCTTGCAGCACTTCCAGTTCAATATTGAACTTGGTCATAAAGTCCAGGTCGGTGTACATCACTCGCAGCAGCACCATGATTTCTGCATCTTCCCATTGCCTGTAACCACATTAACCACAGACACAGTGTGAGACAGAGCAGCCCTGTCTGGACTACATTCCCCAGAAACCTCTGGGGGGAATGAGCTGCCGCTCACAGTCAGCTGACCCGACGCTGGAAGACAACTGGTCGGGTGAAATTTCCAAAACCAGGAAGCGGAGGTTCTCTGTGCTGGTCAGTCTGCTGTATGGAAGCACGGGGTGGGCCTGGAACTGAGTTTTGTGAGAGGCTAAATGTTTTGAAGCAGGTGAGCAGTTAAGCCACTCAGTATGACAGTTAGAGACTTTGTTAAAACATTTAGTCAGTAGCTCAGATGGAGCCTAGGTTTTATTTTGGTGTTTGTTTTTTGTCCGATGTGGGATTTTTGGAAGACAGAATACTTAGGCTCAGTACATTTTCTTGCTTTGATCTGACTTGCTAAAAATTGAAACTCAACTCTTGCTCTTATGGCACCACGGGGAAACAGCAGCTCTTCCTGAGAGCTGCCTTGAGGCAGCACGGAAGAACTCCACTCTTTACACCTTTCAGACGTATACTGTCAGAAAATAATAAGAGCAAAAGAAAGATCACAGACAAAAGAAGGCCATTTGGCCAAAAAGCCCAAAACCAGGCAAGAGTCCGATTGGCAGAGGCCTTGTGCAAGGAGCTTTCATAAAATGGCAAACAGGAGAAGGGAGAGAGGGAAACCGAAGAACGCCTGTTGCCCGAGAACACTATCTCTGTGGAGATTGCTTATTAATCTATCACTTCGATCAGTCCCTAAACTCACATGTTGTAACACTCACCAGTGAGTGTTACAACGCAACTGAAGGATGTTCCAGCATCTCACAAAAGGATTATGCAACAAGTCTGATATAAAAGATATAAAGGGACCCTCATTGTGTCACCAGCTGCAAGCTCTTTCAAAATGTTAATATACTCTAGGTTTTCTTGAGCCCTGCTCACTTTACTTGCTTGGTAGATATTAATTCTTTGAAGTATACACAAAGATGGAAAAAGAGTAACTAATTACAAAACCACTATCTTGTTCTTAAATAGTGATTTAGCCCGTCTCTTTAAACCTATTTATTTTCTGTGATATTTAACTGTTGAGCTTGGAAACAGTTGCGATGAATCAACATCAATCCTTCCACTTACACAACAGCAGAAATCAGATCAAAAGCATAAATTAGCCCTGGACTTGTAATGCATTTCCTAGGCCTGGCGTTTGGAGTTAACGAGCTCTGCCTGAGTTTCACATGAATGCAACAGGTGCAGCCTCCAGTTCCACTCCATAGAGCCGTCCTGGAAACCACAGCACCTTCTAACAATGGCTCAAGAGCTCCATCTGCTCTCTCACCACAGTGCTTTTAACTTCTCATCTCTGGGAGCCGCGCTTTCAAGAAAAACGGAGAAGCGGCAATTAATTAGACTGCTTTATGTGTCGGAGCTGTATTACACCTGAAAGAAACTGTTTAACTGAAGTATTTTCCCCAGCAGAGTATACAGGGATATCAATCAGCGTATACTCAGTGATCCTCAGGCTTCATAATATCATAAGAAGGTTCAATAACACACATTTCAGAGCCAGCCCAGCAACGGTGTGAAAGAAAACATGACTGAATACGTGATGTGCAGGCGTGACACTCATCAAATACCTGCTTTTCTTACTCAGCTTAATGAGGTCCCTGCAGATGATGCCAATTTCTTTTTTTTTAATTGTATTGTGAGAAGTTCTGAAAAGTATAACAAGACTGTGATGCCCTGATGAGCTCCAGTGCACCTGCACCACATTCCACACCTGGAAGGAGCTCGTCAGGGCCATCTGAAACAAGGTATTTCCTCTATTAATCCATTTATTGCTCAATAAACTCATTAAAACTTTGCCTCTGAACCGACTCTGGTAATTACACACTTGCCGCACCCTGTTTTTCATCTGCGGGCATGGCATAACAAAAAAACGAAATACTAAAAACTGAGGAACATAAAAAACAACACAGAATACAAAGAAACACCTAATAAAATGAAGTCAAAGAAAAACCAACAGATAAGTCCAACCAAAAACAGTTCAAACTTGCTTATACCTTTCTGCAGATTTTTTTATAGAAACACGAAACGAGCTGAAATCCATGGTAACATCAATCACAGGCACTTTGGGTGTGTAGAACAATCAGGGATGTGTACAAAACTCAGTCTTTCTAAAAATATTCAAGGAAGGGATGCCAGTTCCTAAGGAATCGTTCCACAGCAACTGTCCTGTAGAATAAATCCTCTCAATTGTAATAGAGGAGATCATCCCACTGAGCCAGCTCTTGAAAAAGGGCACAATGACTGATTTCCATTTTTTAAAATTATTTTTTGGCCACCTCTGTTCTGTGCTGGTTGTTCTTTCCTTGTTAGTCTGAGAGATGACTCTGAAGAACCAGAGTGCTAGCTCATGATCTGGGGCTATATTCTTCCCAAAACCATTGAATACCGCAAAAATATTCCTACCCCAGAATTTCCTCTCATAGTGTCCCATAACCTGGGACAGAGCCAAAGGAGATGTGTAGGAGTGCCTTCAGAAGATCAGCTGTCGATGAAGCTGATTTCTACCTGGAAGTATAAAAAGAAACTAACATGCCCAACACAAGACGGGCTTATCCATGTCTCTTGTCAGATTTTCTGGGACATCAGAGCACACGTGAAGGGTCTGCATGTGCACTATCTCCAGTTTCTTATGTTGTTTTGTTCATCAAGTTCCCAGAAAGATTTGTAAAAGAAACAGAGTCCTCTTGACAATGTATTGATTGGTGCAAACAGGAAGTACCTCTGTCTGAGAGGAAACAACAACGTCAACACTGGCACCTGGAACAAGCAGTAGCTCAACTCAAGAGCCCAGTTTATCTTTTAAAACGTCAGAAAGCAGATCACTGACACTGGCCTGAAACACAACAAGTGACTCTGGTGGAAGAGCAGACAATAGATAAAGCAAGTTAAGGACAAGGAGACTCAGTAAGCCTTCTGATTGTATAGAACAGAGAAGTACAAAAGATGTAAAAGGGCTTACCAGTTATCAAAGGTAGGAGTCTTGAGGTATTGTTTTACCTCCTCTGTGACCTCCAGAGAGCTGTAGAAAAACTCCAGTTACAATTCTGTCTATGCAGGATAAAGTACAAACTGAGCACCCAAAGAATAATTCAGATAAGGAACAAAATACATCCACTCCCGCAGGACCTACTCGATATGTCCGATTAGGATGTTTTTATAATTGATTGCACTGTGGACTCATTCCAGATTATACGAGTGTGGGTTTTATAGGATACGATCTGCTTATTTCTGACTGCCGGAGGCGCGGCTCCTCGGATGCAGTAGCGGTGCACTTGCCTCATCTGCAGGAACGTTTCTCTGACGCGCTCACACTCCTCTCTGGTCTTGCGCAGCGCTCTCTTGTGGTAAAACGGCGAGGGCTTGTGTGTCCCCTCCGACAGCTCCTTGAAAAGCCCCAGCCAGCTCAGGTGCTCCACACTCTGGGGGGAGATTCGCAGCTTTGTTACTGGGCGGACAGGGACAGACCGTGCAGGACAGACACGCGGTCTCGCTTCCCCTCCGTCTCCCCACCTCAAGCTTCTCCCGGAAAGATTCTACTTGGCTCTTCATTTCAAGCACAACGGAGGGAGTCTCGCCAGCCTCCACCAGGATCTTCTTTTCCAGGCTCTGTAACCTGGGATCAGTAATTAAATAATTAATTTGTGTGGTCTGAAATTTAACAACTGAAGACGCAGCGATTCTCTTTGTCTGGTTGAAATTACTTTGACAAAACAGGCAGAATGCAAGGCTATGTGAGGGGAGGGGGAAGGTCTCAGAAAACATCGGCTTACTCGCTTTTATGAGGTGCTGTTTAGGCCATTATTCAAACTTTACCTCTCACACACACACAATGCTCTCACACTCACTAGTTTTGCCTCTCACATTCACATTGTGAAGGAGTGTGTTAGGTATATGTGCGATGTAAAACTAGTGAATGTGAGAGCATTTTGTGTGTATGTGAGAGGTAAAATAGAGAGTGTGAGAGCAATTTGTGTGTGTATGAGAGGTAGAGGTTGAATAATGGCCTAAATGGCACCTCATCCACTTTTCTAATGCTGAATGTGAATGAAAAATATTTTTCAGAATGAAGACCAAGCAAGAACATTCACATAGAAGGGATGACGTTGAAAGAGAAATAAAACATTGTAAAAGACGGTGAATGTATCTTCTGTTACATGAACACACTGCACTGGGATGCGTTCGTGTCTTGCTCAGTCTCTGACAAAAGGTAAGGTAATTCTGCAATACATCTGCAATCTACCTGACAACAATGAGAAACACAGGCCATTAAGGGTCCAAAGGCACAAACAAGTTTCTAAAGGGATATTTCTCAATAATTAGCCACTGAAGGATAACGATGCCTTTATTGCCTTGGTTCAAGTGCCTCGCTCTTCAGAGTAGCAGTCATTAGGAGCTCCTGACAAAAGCTCTGCTGTCGTCATCTGGAACAGACTGTAAAACCGGTGGCACACAGCTTCCTCCGAGGCTCCACTCACAGCTGCTGGCTACCTGATGAAAAGGCTTCCTGCACGAAAATCTGGCTTGTTTTCAATTTCACTTTGATTGTGCTTCCTTTCCTAGAGCATTTCAGCTACCACTACACCTTCAGGAAGCGATAATGTGGCTGATCAGATAAAGGACCGCCGCAGGCACTGCTCGTACCTTGAGTGAGATACGTTTTCACTGAAACGGTGAGCGTACCTTTTTTCCATAGAAGAAAGATCAAATCCCAGAACTGTAGCAAGGTCTGCACCTGTAACATTAACACCTGTGAATTTTATAGAAGGCAAAGGCTGTAGAACTTGATTGTTGTAAGAGCATTTAAGCTCTTTATTGGTGTCAGAGCACAGAGATATGTAGGACTGCTTAAATTAATAAATCATTGAACAATATACATCAAGTGCCAAATAATCACAGCCTTTATTGTTGCACACAATCAGATGGTATAAGGTATAATCTGACATTACATTAAATATTTCCATAACCTCCTGATTATATATACTATATAATACTACGCTGACATGGTTTCTTTACATAATGTGTGCCACAAGTCTTGTGATAATGTTCTGATGTTAACATTTCATGACAGCTGCCCAGGCTTCACTGTGCTCTGTTTTTCAGTCTACACAGCTTCCTCTTGTTTCTGCCCTGGAAGAAATCACAGGCTCACTGTTACAATCGGCAGCCACTACTTCCAGCTTGTAGCAGCTCTGGGGGGTGTTGGGCTCCAGGCCGGGGGAGATGTTGATGATGTTCCCTTTGGTGTTGTACAGCTTCAGGATATCATAAGGTCCTGCTTCAGCTGCTGCTCGGAATAAGTCTGGAAGCGAATAAGAAACGAAAAGCAGAAAGATCCCACATTGGGAAATGGTGTCATAAATAAAAAAAACATCACATAATCAAAAGTAATAATCATAATGAGACTAAAGATACCATGTGGTTGCATGGGTTAGGCACTGCTGCCTCAGCTCTTGGGACTGAAGGTTTGAGTGATTGAGCCGGGGGCACCTTCTGTGTGGAGTTCTGTATCCATGGATATTTTCTCTGGGTATTCTGGTCTGCTCTGACCTCCCACAGACGTGGTGACAAGATGAACTGTCTCACAACTGGCCAGGGTGTAGTCCAGCCAACAGCTCTGCGCAGAACAGATAGCACCCATGTTGCCATCTTTCCATTGTATGCTACATCTGAGACACTCCTGTTCATTCTGTCCCTACAGAGATGCATGGTCCACATCGTCTGCTCTCTATAAAACCTGAACTGTGCACTGTTCATTTACCAGTTTCTTCCATTCTTGCGCACACAATGCTCTGAAAAGATAATGATATTAGACCACAAGCAGCGCTGCACACAGGAGGATGTCATTTGGCCCATCAGGCCTGTTTGTTGTTATTTGATTCCAGGATCTCACCCAGTTGTTTCTTGACAGAAGCCAGAGTATCACCTTCAACATCATGGCTGGGTAGCTTGTTGGATACTCTGGGTACCTGCTTCAACAACACGCTTTCGCTGAAAGCTTTTGGGTGATGTCGGCCACGGGAAGACGGGGCTCTAAGAAAATGCACTTCACTACAAGATGGAAAAATACTGCAGCTACTGGGTCACCCTCTTGAAATATCTGGAGTTCTGGTCTTAATTAATTAGGAAACGATGGTCCCTTCTTCATGTGATTTTATTTATAAAATTCTAATCTGACCTTTCTGGTCTTGGTGCTGTTGAAAGGTTTACATCTGACCTAGTCTACAACTGTCTTTTGCTTTATTCTTCAGTATATTTCAGATTGTTGATTTTGGTGTGCCTAATTTCTGTGCTGTGGTTCTGAATAAAGATTTTGGTTAAAAAAAACAAGCATGAAAATTGCCTTCTTTTCTTCAACAAAAAGTTCTTTGGTTTTGATTCAACTTCAGACTCCAGTCACTAAAGTCAAAGCCAGGGTGATAGGATGTTCTCTCAAAATAAAGAGGGTCAACGCTATCAATTTGTTTGATTGGCTCGAGAGAGTAGAACTGAATTTACTTTTTTTTAAAATACTGAGGAATTGCACTTATTAGTCACATTGTTTTTAGTGAATTTTAGTGAAAATTCAATTTTAGACTGCTATGATTCATTAAGAGGAGACTGTATATACTGTATTAGTCCTGGTGTATAAAGTATTACTGCATTTGAGTGTAGTATTAAACATTTAAAGTCAATTGAGATATATGCTTCCTAGTTTCATCTTCATGTCAGAGAATGATTCATGATGAAATATTTGTAAAGGTAAAGAGGTTAGCGATATGAACTTATATGAACTCATTAGGTTTTTAAAGCAGGAAACTGATAAACAGCCTATTGGCAATAACAGAGGATAAATGCAGTTGGTAGCTACCTTTCCTGATATCCAGTCCTGCCCCGACATTTCCTTCTATTCACAACAGAGCCCTCCTGGGGATCGCTTGGTTTCCAGGCTAGCTCATAATGAGCTTAACCACACCGAATTAATTCATTACAGCCACTAGTATTTCACCTGCCAAATTACTAAGACCTTTACTGATTAAGAAATATGAGTATGGAGAACAAAAGAAAATGCCTTAAACCCTAGAGCTGGCAAAGGCCTCAAGAAGAATATTTTAGGGCAGCATCATGTCCCTAATGGAGTTCGGGGGTTTCTTCCTACTTAAAGCAGGGTGTCAATAATGTCAGAGTGTCAAATGCTGGAAACAGGCAGAGGACACTGGGGACAGACTGAGGACACTGGGGACAGTCCAAGCACACTGGGGACAGTCCAAGGACACTGGGGACATTATACTGTTTGTCCCTCCAGGTGAAGGTAGAAGAAGGGCTGGGGTATAAGAGTCCCATCTTATAACCTTGCATTTCCAGCTTTAATGTCTACATCTAGATATACTGTATATCTATTTCTACGGTGCTTTGCAAATAAATTCAGATCCTTTCACAGCTCCACATTGCTTTAAAGCGTGACACTTTGAAGTAGCAAATGATAGCTGTTTTGTTCACAACCTGCACCAAACATTCAAAGCAAAACAAACAGAAAAAAAAGTAATTAATGTAGATAAAATTAAAATGGAAATTTCACGACTGCATAAGTTTTTAAATCCTTTACAACAAAGCATATACTGTAAGTGAGAATCAGTGCAAAGAAATATTGAGTTCATAGCTCTGAATCATTATACAATCATCATATTGCAGTTTTTAATAAAATACTAAAGATTAAAAATGTGTAGGCATATTATTGTTATTTTCACATTTGTCATGATGTTAATCCTAACATTTTAATGGAAGCGACGGGAAAATGTTTCATTCCTTTTACAGTAGGTATTTAAAGGGTTCATTACTTTTGAATGGGGAAGTACCTTTTTATATTCCAAATGGCAGAACAATGTGAATATAGAAAACAAGTATTCGACCAGTTTAAACCGCCTCTGAATGCTGAAAACTGGCAAAATGAAAGACAGTAAAAAAATCTGTTGCCAGTTGACTGGCCTTCCCACTTCATCTGCATCACTTCTTTGTGGGTATACTAGGACATGAAAAAAAAAAGTCTCTTTTATAAAAAATGTATGACAGATTGTTCAGGTGGACCAAGAAAAAATAATGTGCTTTTATTGAATTTTCCATCAATTAGTGCCACGTAAAAACACAGCAGGGACAATTCAGAAAGATTGAAATAGAATAATGTTCAGAAAGGAAGATAAGAACCTTAGAATAAACACAGCCATTTTTACACTACTCCCTTCCATCCTAACAGCTGTGCTATGGTAAATAAAAGGATTCTTTCTACAACCTGCATTCAAACCTTCTTGGGCAAACTCCAGACAATGCTGTTCACATGGATCATATTGAGAAGCTATACATAGCGCGTCCAATAATTGCTATCAAAAGGCAGGTACTGCTGTGTTTGACAGGAACACTCAACAGCAAATAGGTAACATTCATACTTTCATGTATGTATGGGTTGAATGTATTCATCCAGACCTGTGAACACAAATATGTTTTTCAGCACAAGCTACATGTCCTAGGAATTTCAGCACACGATGTGCCATTTTAGCAGAGCTATTCTTAGATTTTACAACAAGAGAGTACCGTCGCAAACTAAAGCCTTTTTACAAATTAAATTAAAACTGAGACTAAACACAAAAAAGTGGTTTCTCTAAATTTCAGTGTTGCAGCTGAAAGATACAAAAGATTTAATGTCACAACAAAACACTACAAAATGTGCTGAAAACAAATAAAATAGAGAGGAGATAAATCCATGCTAGGACAGAAGTATTTGGGAAGCTGTCCACACTCTTTGCTTCCTGGACCACTGGTGGTCTTCCTTGTGTTTTATACCAGTTCTTCGCATCTTTCTGAGGATGTGTTAGGCATCTTTGTAACAGCAGCCCTGGGGATGTAAAGTTAAGTGGCCAATCCATAACTCAAATCTTTTTTCAGAAACGTCTTTGAAGACCTTGCAGAAGACTTGGGTTAATTATCCTGCTGGAGTAGGAACTCCAGCCCAATTATTAAGCTCTTGTGGCTCTAGATAACACCCCACAGTGCAAAACACCTCGTTATTTTGTTGCATTAATTGATGTCTCTATTATACAAAGGCCAGCCTTGCCTGTGGAAAAAAAGCAGATGTGTACTCCACTATGTTTTCAACAATAGGCGTGACAACCTTGCTCTTTCCTTCACCTCCCTGAACACAGTTTCTGTCTTAGTGAAAAACAAAATCTGTTCAGACCCTGAAATCTTGCTTCTTCAAAGTCAAATGCTTTGCGGTTTTATGTTGCCCCCTTGCTTTCTCATATGGTCTTTCATCTTGTTAAAGATTTGTTCTCTCACTGGTTTTTCATGGTAAAATGCCGGCCCATCTACCTTGGGAATTTAGCTCTGTTATTCTAACCACTGTTTACATCCAACCACAAGCAAACGCTGAGGCGGCACTTGGTGAACTGTACAGCGTGATAAACACAAACACGAAAGTTTGAAGCCCGATGTCGCGTTGATCTTTATGGGGGCCTGCAATCTCGGGAAAGTTTTGCCAAAATTTCACCACGGCGACCAGAGGCTGTAACACCCTCGACCACTGTCACACAACCATTAAAGGGGCATATCACGCCGCGCTCTGACCACTTACAGTTACAGTTTAGGATAAATAACCTTGCAAATCAGCTGGTTCACAGTCTTTGTCAAGCAGTCTTAGCTGGGCTCTGAGCCACACTGAACCAGCCTGACTGCATGTCCTTCTGTGTTCATCTCCCCCATCTTAACGTATTGTTAAGCATAGAGATTCTTTTTAGACTTCTGCGTCTCACTGAAAGCTCTTTAGCAGAAGAGGTTTATTTCTATTAATGTAAGGCAGATGTTGCAATTGACTAAACTCTGTGAGAAACCTGAGGGCAGTGGGTCATCATAACTGAATGTTCTTTCTGGGGTTGTTAAAATTAGTCATCTTATCAACAATAGATCACAGAAAGAGAAGTGTTAACTACTATAGTAGTAACACTCGAAGAAGATGAAACATTGTGTCTCTTTGCTTTTTAGGATGAAATAGACCGTTACTTGTTCCTTTATAGTATTAACTATGCCCATCACAGGAGATCACATATATCAGACTTTGAAAAGGTTGCTGGGAAGGAGAAAGAGTGACTAACACAGAGCTTTGACAATATTGGCTTCGGTCATGAGAGTTATTTTTAAATAAGGTGCAAATATTGTCAGCACATTTGAGATCACACTCTCTGTTGCATCTGTAAAACATTTTTCAGTACTGGGTTTGTGCCAAGATATGCCCAAAAATGTTGTTTCCTCCCACCATATTTCTCTTTATGTGGAAGAAAAAAGGTTGAGTCTAAAAGCTCAGGATACCATATGTTGCTTCACTCCTTATGCTCTTCAATTAAATACCTCTCTGTCAAAAACACCTGTGTCTCTGTTTAAAAGGGAAAAGCAATCTGAGAAGGGATTTCATTTTAAAAATTCAGATATTGATGTTTTTTCTTAGCATCCATATTGACAGAAATATGATTTTTCACAAGTCAATATTTTTTACAGTGCTTTTTATTTTATTGAACCTGACAATAGGCAAATTTTACCTAAAGCGTCTTCAAAGGAAAAAAGCAAAAAGGCCTAAAGTAATTTCCATACTTTAAAATCTTTTAAAAACCCATAAAGGCCATTCTGTTCTGTAGTCCCCACTGTACAATCCTGTGCTGCTTCACTGGATATTTTAATCGATACATTGTTTAGTTTGGCTTGAGGTAAGCCCGTACCATGCAGAAAACATGGTTTGATTTAGAATTCAGGTTAATTGCCCGTTGATGGGTTTTGTTTATGGGGTTGACACTGTCATTTGGAACAATGTTTATAACCGAGAATTGTTTATTTTTGTAAACCAACAGTAACGTTAACTTGTGTTCCAGAGCTCAAGAACATTTCGTGTCCAGATAAGATATTTAACATACAAATGATACTCAAGCAGGTACCCAGTGTCTGGGCACTGTGCTATACCCTCCCACTGGTTGAGTAGTCTATATTGTGTAGATTCAGTGGCCTCTAAATTCTGCTTCAGGTGTTTCCAATCGCTTCCTTCCAGTTTTCTTCTTATATTTCGCTTTTAGCTACTCTATCAGACTTCCACTATCTGTAATGGATGATCTCTAAAAATTAATAATGTGTACTGCTGTAGTAGAGAATGATACATTTGCAAAACTATTCGCAATTCGCAACACTGGTGAAATTGTGTTTATATCCGGTAATATTCAATTAAACGGGAAAAACCCGAGAAGACAGAACTGCTTTAGAGAATATGTCAGTACATCCACGTATTAGCCCCATTTTCTCAACTTTTTAAGATCTATATGTTCATCAAATATTGCTTTTATTAAATATCTTTAAAATACCAAAACTCCATTACAATTAAAAGCTCGTGATCACGTCAACGTGATGAAAGTTAAGAAATCATGAGAGAGCCAAAATATGTATTAAAAGTTAACACTTTTAAAAAAAATATATATATATCGTGTTAAAATAAACAAGCAAAAAAATTAGGCAACGCATTTTTCAGTTGCTGTAGCCGTTGGCTTGTCAAGTAAATCAAACATATTTTTAACTAATCGCTTTAAAATGCTGTGTGGGAACAGTTCGTTTCGCCGTAGACGAGTCTCATGCACTTACTGTACCTTTCACATCTTGTGCAGGACAGTCTTCTCGGAACTCAGCCTGCTCTGCTCTCCCGTTCACCGTGAAATAAATGATTTTTGCTGCCATTTGAAGAAAACAGCTTTGCGGGTGGGAATCATTCGCTCTCCGGTTCCACTGCGAACTGCTGTTGAAGACTTCAAGCATCACGTTTAAACGAGGGACACCCCTGTCCTCTCTCTCTCTCTCTGTTTCCAAAACACAGTCTGCATCTTCTGCAGTTTTCTTTTCAATGAAAAGATCTCCCCTCCCACCAGAAGCTGCTGCTGGATCTGGGCAGCTTCTGCAAACGTATTATTATAGTATTCCTTAAACACAACACAGTGAGCAAGCACAGTGCCATGCACAGCTGCTGCAATGCAGGTGACGAAGTTAGGTGATACCCCATAACCCCTAATCCCTAACACGTAACTACTAACCCCTAACCCTAAACCAGAGAAAATTAAATTCTACATTCTTAGCGATAAAAGAGTTCAGCACTGGAACTCAAAATCACAAGTAAAAGCAATTAAACTTAACACCAACCCTCCAAAAGTAACCTTAACATCCCCTCCAAACCTCAACCCTTTTCCCAGGTCAGCGGATACTGGAATGAGAGGGCAGGGGACTCAGAGCTACAGAAGCAGAATCAACCATAAACCATAACTACTGAGGCAACCTGTAGCCGGCGCCTGGTCACTGCCAGACGAACTCGAGACGTTGCTTCATCAGTAGCAGGGGCCCGAACAGAACTGGTGCCAAAGCAATAGGAGCACCTCGACCAGTCGCCACTCATTTCCACAGAAATGGACTCCCTCATAGCCCAGGTATTCCTAACCCCAATCCTTCTCAAACGGAGGATAGCATGAACTCTACCCACAACCCAGCATTAAATCTGAATCTGACCTAAACGCAGGTGGCACACAAACTTTAATCCAGCTACACTGGGGTGAAACAGGAAGGGCATGGTGTGGCTCAACACCAGTCAACCAATATTCTAGACTAAGTGTCAGAGAAACCACCGAGGGGGAGAAGAATAGGTCACTCCAGCACAGTAATCGGAAACTAAGGCGAGTGCAGGAAAGGGTTTTGGTGTGTCCCTAAAACCTGGGAACAGCAAAGCAAAACACGCTCTGTATTCACGAATCAACAAAAACCCACAAAGGAAGTGGGCGATGTTATCGACCTGACAAAACATGGAACCCAAACCTTCAGTACCATCACACAGTTTGAAGAACACAGTTAAAGGAAATTAAGGGCCGAAAAGAAGCTAACGTGGCCCAAAGAAAGCAAACAGAAAGCGGAACATATTCCACGGGGAAAGGGTCATCCCCAGAACCAAGGCAGAAATGGAGAAAGCATAGTGGACTGGGGGCAGTGCGATGACAGTTAATAAATCAGGAGACAGCCAAAAGGTTTATTGAAAGTTAACAAACTTTCTTTAAACATTTGTTCAAATAAACGAGCAAAAAAACTATGCAACACTTTTTTCAGTTGCTGTACCCGCTGGTTTGTCAAGTAAATAAATCGGGTTTAAAATGTTGTGTGGGAACAGTTCATTTCGCCGTAGACGAGTCTCATGCACTGACAGTGCCTTTCACATCTTGCCGCTGAAGACCTTAATCCTCCCTGTAGACAGGGGGCGCTAAAGAAGAAGAAAGTGTCATTCCCCCCCAAGTTGCTCTATTCAGTTCTTGCTTTCTCTGGTACGAAGAAGTGCAAAGAAACAACGTGGTTGGGGTGCTGCATTGAGTGCAGCAATAGGAGGAAAATAGTCAGTTTTAAAGAAAAGGTTGATCGTTTTCGTCGACGATGACAGAAGGCAGCTCGGCCCCTGCTCCAGCCGCCCGGAACCTGCTCGCTCTGAACCCGAGCGAAGAGGCTGAATTTAA